GTAGATGGCAACATCAGGTAGTGGCAACTTAAACACATTTTCTATTATATTTATCCACAAGAACCACTGGTCAGTCTGCGCTCTGTTTGGAAAGTATCACATGATACCAAAAATTTACTGAGTTTTCTGGCATTGCTCATCCTGTTTGGCATTGCAAAGTTCTTTGCCCTCCAGACTAAGAGTGTCAATTTGAGCAAATTATTGGTGGCCTGTGCTGAGGGTCTGTCCTCCTAGCGCCCTCCCCCCCCTCCTCCATATATGTTTTTTGTTGGATTTGGTACGCTTCATTTTGGTCAGCATTATTTTGTATTTTGTATCTTTGCACCCTTCATCCAATAGTCCTGTCTTTCAGCACTGTAATAACCATCGCAGCCAAATGATGCCCATTGCAGCTTATCTTTGTGTGGTATTCATATTTTACCCCAACTTGTGTAATATTGCAGCAACAATAATGGATGGGCAAGCCAGAGAAAGAGAAAAAGAGAAAATGGGACAGGAACCCTGCACAAAATAGTGACAATTGACATGCCAATTCCAAAATTGCAACTGTCCCATGCAGCTGCCTGCTGTCCAAAACACGCACTCCACAATGGTCCTGTGCTCGGTACTAAAATTTGTAGCTAGGCATCATTATAAAGCATCTTCGTGACTGATGCTAGACTTTATGCTTGAACAATGGGATCGTTCAGGATACAGGGCTAACAATTTCATTATGGCAGTACAGAAAGTTTTATTATCCCACGAATGATTTCGGCATTCTAGCATATGCAGCAGTAAAATTTTGGCTCAAATGTTGTAATACTTTGGACTGAATGTTGATTTGTAGCCGTTATTCCAAGCATGACACCTATTTCGCGACATCATAACATGATTGTATCAATCTAACTTCTTTGTAACAACTGGAGCAAATGTTAAGTGGAAGATGCCCCTGTCCGAGCTGGGCACAGTTGGCTTTGAACGGCCACCATCGCGATGGGTTCCATACGTCAGACACACTAAAGCTATGCGCCCTCTGCCTGGGTGGCTGGATTGCTGATGTGGAATTCAACGGGTGACTCCCAGTGACGTCATTGTGGGCAGGTGCAGCGCCACGAATTTCCTGAGGTCTCCTGGACAAAATGGGCTCTCTTCACAGAGAGGCCTCCTGGGTGGTGCCATATTCCAGGGAGGTGGGCAATGAGTGCATGCCTCCTCTTATCAGACTGCCACATGTATCATATCCAAGTATCTAAGTCTCAATAATTACAAAATTTAAAAATAGAGCAATGCTGATCTGATCTGACTGATCATGCTCCCTAGTCAAATTTTTGACTCTTATTCGGATTCAACAATCAAAACAATCTCACAGGTTTTGGTCACCGAGATATTCTGAAGGTCAAATAAGATCATTGACCTGGAACGAACGCCAGTGACCTTTTGCTTAGAAGAGGAATGTCGGTTTAAGGTGGATGCATGAGGAGGTTTGAGGGTGTTCCGGACACGGACTTGGAAGTTGGCCTTGTTTGACATTATTTGGCCTGAGGTTATGGTCCAGGTGTTTTAGGACTGCACACCACTGAGTTTACATATTGACCTATCTACCGTGAGCATTTTAGGTAAAGCTCTAATGATTTTTTAGATCTCAGGGTGGTCGAATTGACCACGCTCCACTCATCCTAAAGGAGCGCCCACTAAGCCAGCTGCCCGGCGCGTTTGCTTAAAATTTGGTGGTCGTCCTCACTAAAAGACCGAAACATGAAGAAAGACTTGAACCTAAGGCCTAAAATCCTCTAGTCTCTGAGCTATATACCCGCAAAGATAAGCATACTTTTTCGTGCATACTATTTTAGGGGTACCCAAGCATCCATTATGTCATAATAACGGCATCCAAATCCTGCCATTTTACGGGCTATACGGTGTTCAAGGTCAGGAAAGATATAACTATCGAGTCGTCCATATTTGGCGTTGGTGAGCACCGTTTCCAGATGTGTAACGCCCGTCAATTGGCTCGCAACCAATGTTGTGCAAGTTATGCAAGATTCTGACACGAATTACGTTTTATGACACATGAAATAAAAAATTATGCACTCCTCTTAATTATCATGAAAATAAGACTGGAAATGAAATGGTTTAAGAATAGCACCATGACCGCACATATGAACATGAGTAGGCACCTTACACTCACAGCTAGCTTTGCAAGAATACCTATAGAAAGGACCAAAACACAAGAACCTAATGCAATTTGGCTCAGCACACATCCAGCACCACCGCGGGCCACCTCTCGGGAGCCACAAGTGAGTGCTGTCATACAAATGTTCCATGATGCAATCAAATAATGACGCACTGATGTGCACATTCACAAAATAGAGAAATTTTGCTGTCTTGGGCATTCTTTTCCACTTCAAAAGTTTCCACAATAGTTAGACGTGAGCTTACTTCATCATATGTGATGTTTGCCACAATATCTTCAAAAGTGGAACAGTCCATTGGATGGAGTTTTAGAGTGGCACTTCTTCAAGTGTTGTCAATGGTATCCTGACTCTTTTGAACAGTGTCACGTTTTCCATGACTCCACTGTGACCCTTGTGTGGCATCATAGGACACTCGCATGAGAGTCTATTGGTGTAATGAAACAATCCGATAGGTGTCTTCTCAAGGGTCAAAAAGGGACTTTCCAAAAACTCCGGGATCAAAGGGATTGCACAGCACCTTTTTAGAGTTGGCAACGGTTAAGGGATAAAAACAGACAAAAGGCTCTCTAAATATGTTTTTTCCAGAATCTTCTGACGCGCTTTGCTAAAGGATTTACTCTCAGAGAAGCTCCCTGGGGAGTACATGTCCCTCAGTGTATGGTGGGACATAGTTATGTATGCTTCTGGTTACTTTTGTTTTTCGGTTAAATCCTGGCAAGCCTATTTAAATAAATGATTACGTAAGTTACATCTAGTTTTAATAGTGCAACAGTTAACGTCAGCTGCCAAATACATGCATTGCTGTTCGCATCTTAAGCCAGTATTTGATCTGAGTCGGAAAATCAGAAGCAATCAGTTTGTACTTGAAAGGCTCCCGTGTTATGAAACGCATTCACTTCTTAAGTTTACTTATTTACAAGCCATCCTCGTCGCACCTTCTCTAAATATCAGTCTTAGAAAACAGCACACATGTGCAATGAACACGTTTGGCAAGACCAAACGAGAAACTGGGTTTAAACGAAAGTTTTGAAGAGTGTTTGGTGGAAATGGAAAGGCCTTAAACGTTTTCTGTGTTGCTGAGTGTGCAATTGACTTTCACATGACATGTATGTAAAAATACCGAACATTGTGGCCTCATGTTATATATGTTAAGGGATGTCTAATTTTCACTTTTGATGCAAAATAAAGGGGGTTTTCCCGAAACCCATTTTCCTTCGTTTGTGTGGGATATTTTTGCTCGACCAGACATATTTGCATTTGGAAACGCACTTCATAAGCGGTACCCATAGTCGAGGGCCACTATAACTATATGCACATGAACACAAATATAACAAATGTGTGTAGATTTTCTCAAATTCGAAGGGAGTGCTTGCACGGGATCGCCCAAATATCCAAATGCACACACCGCACCAAAAGTTTTGCTATAGCACGGGCTCTGACACGGCGCTCCACTGGCACCATTAGCACTGCTGGCCCCGGTGCGAGCGTCCCTCAGCGCCAGTCGGCAGCAGTTCTGCAGTCATTACGCGCGTCCTTCCCCTCCTTTCAGGTAATAACACCGAGCGAATGGCTCACCATTCACCGTTTAGCATACAACAATAGGCGAGCCGGTATCAGCGGTGGGACGCGGATAAGCGCGATCACTGCGCACGCAAGCAGCAGTTAGGGACCATTTCACAGATCGTTCGCCAGTCCAGGATGCACCGGGTCTTGAGGGCGTTTTAAAGGGCGGAAGTCCTTTCCGGCCCCCGTTTGCGGTTGTGAAACATCGTTGAGCCGCGCAAGCGATCGACCCGGTGACAAATCGGCGGGCTGGCCACACTCAAATGGCCCCCGGCACGAGACCGGGACTGATTCAGGGTCTGCTGGCGTGAAACGCCGTGCACGGGAACCCGGTAGAGGCCAGACTGCTGACTGGAGCACAGGAAGGTGATGTCCTGTTATTTGCCGTTAAAGCAGGATCAAGATGGGATGGTACAAGGTGTGGACAGCTGGTGGATTGTGAGGGGGGGACAGGGCACACCAACTGGACTCGGGCCAGTCTGAAGCTCCGGGACTGTGGTTTCATGTCGACATTAGTGCTTTTCGCAGACCCGGACAGCTAATCCGTGTGGTCCGACTGGACCTGATAAATTTGCTGTTCGTGACCTAGAGCCACCAAGGCCATGCACAATAAAGTGTGTGTATGGTGGACATATCGTGCAGAAGTAATTGTGTCTGTCCTCGTGAGGAATTAGTGAACCTGTGGTTAATGTTGTAATCGCCCTACGTTCCTTTTGCCGAACCCTCTATAGATGATTGTAGCGATCGTAATCAGTGAGAACACGGCGGGGACGCCTCAGAGGGCCTGGGAAAATTTTCCAGTCAGACTGAGCTCTAGCATGAGCTACAGCAGCAGCAACAGCAGCTTGTCACGCGGCTCTGACGAGCTGGCTACTGACGCGATCAACCAAAATCACGCGTTTATGCAAAACAGCGAAACCGGGCGCCGGCGCGACGAGCCGGAGTGACGACTCTCCGAGCGGCGCTGTGCCCTTCGCGGCGGCGGCGGCGGCAGCGGCGGTGGCGCCTTCGACTGGCGGAGATGGCCCATCATTCGGCCGGCAATGATCCGTGGCTCCCGCCGGCCAGGGGTCTCGGCGTCAATATGTTACAAGGGCGCCGGCCGCCCGCGCCGGCCCATTGGTGCAGCCGGCCGCCAGAGGCGGCCCCCCGCGTAATTACGCTCTCATTAGACGCGGATTGGTCGAGCGCGGCGCCGATGCCACGCCCACCGGGACGGCCCGAGTTTGCCTCGGCTATCTGCCACTTCCGCGCCCATTTCCTCTGGGTAATGAAAGAAGTGGACTTAAGCACACAAGTTGGACGTTACGAATTTATGTTATTCAATTATTGGTTTCGAGCTTTGGTCGCCGCCTATTTGCGTTGAAATACGAGCGACCATTGCGTCTGCCGGTTGGACGGCTAACTGCGCGACGCCAGCCAGTAACGACGCGGCTCTCCGTCGACGAGCAGCGCCCCGGTCGAGGTAAGCCGGCGCCCCTTCGGCCGCCCTAGCACGTGCCCAGGTCGCTCGCGGCAGGTAGGGACGTCCCTCGCCGTCGGGTCCCTCCCCCGCAATGGCCTGTTGTCGCTCCCGCCCCCGCCGCCCGCTCGTTAAAGAGCGGATTCCATGGAAAAACTCATTTCCGTCGCCACATCCTGAACAGTCGGCCGTATCGCCAGTAAACCTTCCGTCCGCAAGCCGCCGGATCGCCTTCCGCGTCCGGCTCGCCGCTTCCGGCGAGCTTCCTGAACCGGAGGCGCCCCGGCAAAGAAACGCACGTGGCGCGTGGGCGGCGGTCGCTGCGGTCAGGTGGTCGCCGGATGGCGGACTGATTGGCCGTTGCGTGGCCCGGAAGTGGTCACATGACCATTACGGGCCGGAAGGTCACTGGTTGACCCGACCGCCCGTCGATTGCGTTATGTCGCGTTAGCAAGGTGGGAACAGGATTTAATAGCGGGATATGCATACTCTCATCTGGTTGAATCTGAGTGGCAGACCACTTTGCTGGAACCAGCGCTTCAGATCATTCCAAAATATTTATGTACGTAGCCTGATATGACCTGATCTCCATTTCGCTTAAGTGAAGCACGTTGAAGTGATTGTATGCAGCAATAACGCACGACTGTACAGCTGTCGGACTATTTTATAGTTAAGTTATTGATAGTCGACGCTGCCCTAGACAGGGGTGAATATGGTGAACTTCGCTGATGGCAAACGCCGCTAAGATTATGATTAATATAAAAATATAACTCAAAACCACGCGTGCCTAAAAAAGTGGCCTAAAATATGATTTTTAAATTGGGGATACTTTCATCCCCTGCAATGCCTGATAACTGCCGGACCACCGGAACATCCCTGAGTTGCAACTACTTCATGAAACTTGGCAAGGTGATATAGGAGTACAGAAGACATGTACTTGTAACAGTAAACTACCAACGGCACATGCGAAAATGGACAAGGTGTTCATAACGTACAAAATCAGCAGTGACATAACATGGTAGATGTCGCTCAAACACCCCGTCCTATTTTTGCAGGCGTTATAGGCTCACAGCCTTTTAGTTTGTCCGTACGGATAGCGCGACTTTGTCACCTCGCTGCGCATCTGTCTTCGGAACCATGTGTTCAGTTTACCTCGGCCTGATTCAGTGCATCCAGCCAGTTTAAGCAAATCTCAAACGCCCACAGTTGGGCGCAGCCCCCGGCAGGCTCAGTGTCTCCAGACCTCAAATGTCCTGTGTTTTACAGCTACACGATAAACGCTGCTTTCAGCCATTGAAAACAAAAGATCCATTTTTGGAGCATTCACATTTCGCCACTTGGTTGTGGACTTCTTTGGGAGCATATCGCCACGCCGGTATCGGTTTTATGACACAGCGTAATTAGCGGGTGATATTGTCAGTCTTGCAATGGCCTTCCACAAGCCGAGTCAGTGGCCGACCACACCGAGTCAGTAGCCGTTCGCACCGAGTCAGTAGCCGTCCGCACCGAGTCAGCAGTCGCCACTCACGCCGAGTCAGTGGCTGCCCATACCGATCCAGTGGCCGCCATACCGAGTCAGTGACCGCCCACACCGAGTCAGTGGCCCGTCCACACCGAGTCAGTGGCCGCTCATATCGAGTCATTGGCCGCCCACACCGAGTCTGTGGCCGCTCATTCGAGTCATTGGCCGCCCACACCGAGTCTGTGGCCGCTCATATCGAGTCATTGGCCGCCCACGGCGATGACGCTTTCGTCGTCCTCGCACTCGGCCCGCGCGAACGTGGTCCTCATTCAAATTGTGATCACCATATTGATGGGCGCAGTGCTATGACATGCGTGACTCGGGTGGTTTCAGCGTAATCATGCAGCGGCTACTCTTCTCTGACGCACCGGGGATACACCGCTGTCGATTCAGGTGGTGCAAGTGTTAAAATAGCACAATGTCAGCTGCGCAACGGAGATGTCTATCTGGTACAATGGGTGCAGCGCCGTGGTGCGGCTTCCTATAAAGGGAGTATGCCACCTCTTTGTACTTTTCACTTATCGTTACATCCGACGCGTACAATTTGATCAGTCATACCAGTTTTCCTGCATCCTTCTGAAGAGCTAAGAATTTCTATTCGAAGTAGCAAACCCTGCGGTAGAAATATCATTTGACTCCCTGTTCACCACTATGAGAGTAACACATTTCATTTGCCTTTTGCAGCGTTTGTAACACACTCATATGTCGAAATAGTTACGTAATGAGTGCTACGAAGCTTACAACGATCCGCTTAGTCAACAAGATTTGTGAATACCTAGCTATTTCCCCTCGAATTCAACGAAACCTAAGACTATGACTTTGATCTATCCCTTATGGCGTTTACCACAGTGGCATAGTGGTAAACGCATGGCATGTTAGAAAAGGAGGTGCACATTGATTTTGGGAGCGGGAGTGTCACACGATTCATGTGACCTACTGGTTTAAACTTCAACCAACCAACTTCTCGGCAACGGGCCTTGCCCGCTGGGCCACCACAAACTTTTTAATTCGCGCAAGTAGGGATGCGCATGGTCGTTGTCATGACGACGGTGGTCGGGACTGCAGAAAAGAAGCGTGGTGCTGTTACAAGGCGTTGGCAGCGTAATTTGAACTCAAAATGATGAAAATGTAGTTCTTATTATGTTTTGACGGTGGTGCAGTGGTGCGACCCAGTGCCTGTCATTAGGCTAAGCTAGTCATGAGCTTTCACCATATCATGTTTTTTGAAATATGCCCCATCGGTAGGACACTTACTTTAACCCGTCCTCTCTCGATCATGCCGGGGACAAATCGCCCTTTTACAACACATGCGCAGCTCCCTCACAACGAGCTTGCCGCGCAGAGTTGAAGAGCGTGCTGCTCTCGGAAACCTGCAGACTTCACCAGACATGTCGCTTCGGTGTCAGCCTTATGGAGCCAATTAACTGACATGCTGTGGATGTGCTGTTCCAGCATATAGGATGTTTCACGTCCCTGACAACTGTCAGGAAGTGTCCGTTGATGAATTGGAGATAAATCCCATACAAAAAAATGTGAAAATTGTGAACAGAAATATGCTCGTCTTGCCTGCCACCACCATGCCAGGCTAGTGTGATCTTTGTGGTGGTCACGAACTTGACGTCTGTTCATAAAACAGCCTCTTTATGTCAAGACGATGGTAAAAGGGGATGCTATGTTGATGTGAATCACGCCAGCTAAATGATAGGAGGCAGGTTAGGTCGACAAGTTTGGTAAGCCGGGTGAGCTAATAATGCAACAAAGATGTGCAGGCAAAGGCGATATGACTATGGTCTCTGAAAGCGCACATGAGAGAGCAGAAATAAGATTGTTCCATTTTTTTTTTTTGGCAAACACCTAAGCTCTAATTTTTTGAAATCGTAGATTTTTTAGCTAGACCCCTGCTCTTTGCACATTTCATCTAAATGTCCCATTACATCGTGCGAGAAAACATTCTAACACAACATTGCATTGGTTTGTCACATTCTATTGGAGACAGTTGCAGTAAAAAATAATGTCCATTGAGTAAGTGCTATTGCAAAGCAGAGCTGACATGGAAGAAATAATTGTCGTGAATATTTTCACCATTACAACAAGCGACAACAGTGACGATGCTCACTTGGCCACGCATCCCATTCTACACAGTTCCGTAGCACTAATAAGGTTTTGCACCAGGTGTGTAGTTTCATAAAAAGATGGAGCTAAGCGAGAAAATTGTAAATCCACCACAGAAAGCACAACAAACAGGCCAAGAAAGCTTTTGTCCTGTTTGAATTCTAGTATCAAAGTGTGCATACTTCTCTGTCATAAAAGGTAGCTACACGATGCATTTGAATACACTTGTCAAGCTATTGTGATATGTTTCGAAAAGTTGCCGCTGGAAAGTGTAAACCCGTACTTGTCATTTCAAGAAGCAGGGCCTTTTCAATCGTTTACGCGGGAGAGATGACTGCCTCGACCCCACACTTCTTCAGCACGAGATGTGGCTTCACCATCCTTGCGTTAAATCAAAACGCAACTATTCGACGAGAAACAAACCATAAATGCTCGGCAACGCGAAAGGAGCCACTGCCGACCCTTTGAAACCTAGCCTCAGCGTTAAGAATATGTTGCCCAGTGTTCGTGTCCCGCCGGGCGTTATTCACAGCGTGTCTACGTCGTGCTTATTCCACGCCCTGACACTATATCATGTGGCCACATAAAAGCAGCCCGGCCCATTGAAGCAAACACGACACGCACGTTTGTGGAAGACGGAGTGGGTAACAGCCTCATGATTGATGAAAGGAGCAATTATGTGAAAGAGAGTTCTCCCGATTCATGCGCAGGCTGGCCTTTTTGATATGACGTATTTCGTCGCATGATACTGATGAGGATTATGAGTGGAAAGATGATTGTAAATACCAAGCACACTTGGAAAAGTGTTGCAAGGTATGATGACGATATGAAATGCAATATAAACTCTTCGCAGTTTTCGGATAGATGATATATCTGCCTACCCAATGGAATCGAAACATGGCGTAACAATAGCTTCACAATCACTCAGGCATATACTTGTATTTGTAATTATGGACGTAGGCTGTGATGCGTAGTGTTTGTGCAGAAAATATCTATGGACCTTTTGCCCAGTAATTGGTAGTTTCACATCATTGCTTCAAAAGTCACACTACTCACACATTAGCTTCAAATTGTTACGCGATTCTGTTATTTCGATGTGGCTTAGGACATGTTATGTGTCAGGGATCTGAGGCAAGCATGTGTTCAAACACCTGCCGCAAAACATGCGAAAACTCTGAATAGATTGGGTTTACCACAGAGGTTAGCAATCCTGAACTTGGATACCTGAAATGTTTGCCTGTGGGGGTCAGAGAAGGGGGGTCAGGGGAGGGGGTCAGAGGAGGGGGGGGGGTCAGGGGAGGGGGTCATGGTATGCCATCTGTAAGTATCAGAGGCCGCACTTAGGCCATACATGGCTGGTACATGAACGCTGCTCCAGGTAAACAGGGCATCACGAATGTGCAGAATGAGGCGTGAATGAGGAATGAAGGGCGGACGAGCCTGTGAGCACTGTTTCATGGGTTTGGGCCCGCGAGCACTATTGCATGGGCGCCAGGGTAAAACTGCAGTACGCGTTTGTTTGCGACACTTCGCTGCGAACAGCATAGAACCACTAAAACTTCTCTATACATTTTGATGTATTCCATTGTAGTGTCTCAGTCTGCTGCCTGCTCACTAGCCTGTCTTTCAATGACACTGTGTGGTGAAGGAAGCTGTAGAGTGACTTGCTTCTTGTGTCGTGCCGGGGAGGAAGGTTTGATACTTGGCTGGGCCGTCTGAAACAGTCATGCTTGCATGGTTCACTTCGATGACATTTATGACTCTTCCAGGCGCTGTAAGCTGTGGAAATCATAAACTTATGGCAAATGTAAATTGAGTACGTTTGCATGGCTAGGCATGGGCACATACATGCTGGCTGTGGCTGAAGGCTATAGAAAAATAAGGTCACTAGACCGCAGTAAAAACTGCGGGGAAGCTTCCGGCATCGGAACATGAGCCAGGCCGTGGGGCCCTGATCCCCCAGTATGAACATACGTAGGTCGAAGTTTGCTTTCAGCCATCGGCTATTATTTTTTAAGTAATAAATACCCCTTAGCAGCTCCGATGGTCTCGCCGGATTTGACAGCTCAGTGGGATAGAGTGGGGCGGATGATGTCCAATGCTAATCCCACACCGAATGCGATGGAGCTGCAACATGTGTCGCACGAAATAGTATACAGACAGTTGGCGTGATCAAAGAAAGTCATGAGTCGGTCATAAGCGAGACACAAACCAGACCGTGAATGACCTAAAGGTCAAACATTGACACACAGGTCACACAGGTAAATGCTAGCTCATTTCACAGTATTGTCTAATGTGTTTTCGACCACGAATCATGTCCATCATCGTCACACGTCTCATCGACGCTTTATCATAGTAACGTACCTTCCGTGTGATAAGACAAGATCAACAGTGACACCAAGAACGCCGCCGTGGAGCATGTAGTTTAACGTGTATTTTCCACACTTTCGCATTGTAAACCTTTAAGAACAAAGTTTTAGCTCATATGATTGGCATTTCGTGAAAGCAATGTGTTGTGAGCACAGCCAAGAGCGTCGTGTAAACATACACATTTTTTCCACGATGTGCTTATTTTCAATGCTGAACAGCAGTATTAAGAAGATGCGACCATACAGCAATCATTCTTTCGACATTATACTGAGAGCTTCAAGTAATCAAAACATATTCACATCTGTAAACTGCTGAGCTTTTCAATTTTGACCACAGTGTTATCAAGAGAAAGAGAAAAGCCACCAGATTATTCCATTTTCAGACCATTTTTATCACCAGAAACAACTTAGAAACAGCGTCAGATGCTCCGGACTGAGATGACGGTAGTGACCTTACGCTAGGGCTCTCATATATCCTGACAATTATTCCATTTGTTTCAATCACTGAATACCTCAAAGTCTGATCAAACGCTTGCAAGTCAGCTATGTCTTTAAATTCATGTTTGAGCTTCACGTTAAAACAACACTGCATTCCCGCGATGCTCTTGACAATATTGACCGAGCAACTTCGCGTCTTCGTCCATTGTGGGGCAGCTGAAGACCTATTGACCCTTGTTTGACTCATAAACCAGGCAATAAACAACAGAGGGCCAGCTGCTGCCATCTGACCTACGGGTCCTCCCTACCTGCAACTGATGCACAGTGTTGCCAGCTGTCACTGCATAACCTCCATGTTACTCGAGAATCGTGCCCAGGCGTTGTACGGGGGCAGCGCCTGCCCCTATCTGACGTTCGTCTTCCCCTGCCCCGGGCGTCACACGAGTGCAGCAGCAGCTCCCGTCTGACCTGCGTCTCCCTACCCCAGGCGATGCACGGGGGCGTCAGCAGCTCTTATCTGATCTGCGCCTCCCCTACCCCAGGCGTTGCACGAGAGCGGCGGCAGCTCCTGTCTGACCTGCGCCTCCGCTTGCCCCAGGCGATGTACGACGGCGGCAGCAGCCCCTATCTGATCTGCGCCTCCCCTGCCCTCCCCTGTCTCAGGCGTCGCACGACGGCGGCAGCAGCTCCTGTCCTGACCTGCGCCTCCCCTGCCCTCCCCTGTCCCAGGCGTCGCACGACGGCAGCAGCAGCTTCTGTCTGACATGCGCCTTCCCCTGCCCCAGGCGATGTACGAGGGCGGCAGCTGCTCGGACCTGAGCTCGGGCGGTCCGTTGGACCTGAAGCGGGGCCAGTTGATGACCTCCCGGCTGGGCGCCGCGCCGCACGCCATCAAGGAGGAGCTGGCCGGCGCCGTGGAGTGGCCCGCCGGCTGTGGCTACCGGCTGCCCAGCTGGGGCGCCGGCGCGCCGTTCGACCCGCTCAAGAGCAGCGTCGACCGCGTCAAGATGGCGCCGCCCGAGCTGGGCCGCGAGCGCTCCTACTTCAGCCCGGGCTTGTACCTGGGCCGCGACTCACTCGCCGCCTGCCCGCGCGACATGAGCGAGCAGGAGAAGCGTATGACAGGTAGGTCAGGCGCCAGCGGCGTGCTGCTGGGCTCGGCGTTAGGACGGGGCGGGGCGGGGGTGGGGGGCGGTGATTAGGCGGTTGGGTCAGACGTGGCGGCTGGGGACGATGTGATGATGGGACGGAGCGGAGGAGAACACGGCGGGCAGGCCAGACTGGGCCAAAGTATGCCGACTGCTGCAGGAACAGGGTGCGAGGATGGCGAGGGTTGCGCGAGGAACGAGCTCGCATCGGCTTCAGAAGGAACAGAGGGGAATATAATTGCTGGTTTTTTCTATCAATCCAAGATGACCACCATAACTTCTGTTGGCGAAAGCTTCGACCTGAAATACAGAGGACAAGGAATATGCCGACGGAGAGACGTCCACAGAGTCCAAGGAGATCAGCGTCCACATGATAACCACCATGACCACACGACGTCCTATATACGCGCCTCGCAATGTAATATTTTTTTTGTTTTGGACAGCTATTCAGGATCCGCTGGAAAATTTCAACGGACGCTATTAGAATCACGCCAAAGCGGCCAAACACGCTCTGTTTATCTGGACGGGCAGTAATATTTGTATTTTAATTTTTCCGCCGTGCCCACCAATTCGCACTAGTGTGAGCCGGAACGGCGGCGCAAAAGCAGCAGTGTTATTAAAACAGAACTCCGGAGGTAAAGCACGTAAGTGAAAAGTACCATAATTTACGATCGTAGCGCATGACGTGACGGTGACCTTCTATGAATCCGGTCCCATACGTGCCCCAATTAGTGGTCATAGATCAACCACATTATGTGACTACAGGGTATTTATTTCGCCACTACACTCAGGAAAAGCCGTTTTCTTCTACGGTACAAATGTGCAGTGTGCAAATCCACCGTGTTTCGGGCCTATTACGGTGCTGTGGCCGCATAAAGAACACCGGTCTTTTCCTGGCTTTGTTCGCCAGTGTAGCGGCTATTGTTTGAAGGCCGGTGGTGAATTGTGTTGGCCTTGTCGCAAGGAGGAATTGACATGCCATGAGCACCGATACCAAGTCAGCCTTTCTCACACAAGACATGATTACTCATTGAACTACGCAGCCATCACCATTAAACTAAACGTCGGCCCATGACAAAATTACACGCAGAGGAGCCCATACATGGTTTATCATCATTAACTGTCCGTATTCCCACAGGATTGGTTAGATGCTAGTCCTTGAGGTGGTTGCTTGCATGTGATGCGCCAAACCTCACACAATGCAGCACAACACAGCACATTGTGCAACACAACACAACGCATTGTGCAGCATAACAGAGTACATTGTACATCACAACGCAGCGCATTGTGCAGCACAATACAACGCGATCAAAAGTAAACAAAGAAACATTGTGCCTTTCGGCACAAAAGAGAGCTTTCTGTGACACTGCTCGTCAGCCCCTCAGATGGTGTCCTGGTAGCTGTGGCGTTGGAATCTCTGGGAAGTTTGCGTGGAGACAGGCGCTATTTAAATCACGTTTCTGGTCATATTCCACCATGATGTTCATGCAACTGTTTGCCGGGAGTACTGATCAGTCCCTCGTTCTTCCTCAGTCCAGCAATACTACCTTGAACGACCACCAGTGTTACCAAATTTTTAGCTTGCTCTTGAGCGAAACTGATTCAGAAGTAAAATGCCCAGGTGTGCTTTGCTTCATCGCCGGTGGCGACAATGAAAACCGTCAGAGAAGTCTTGGCTTGGATTCATGCCACGGTGGAATTGTCCTGTTACACTACTTCATATGTGCACATTACAAACCCGCGTGAATTGTGTCCTGTAAGTTCGCGTAATCCGCGTAAAATCCGCGTTAGCTGTGTGCAAAGTGTTAGTTTAGGCTCCTTCCTTCGGCTTCCACGTTGCGCGTTGAAAGCTTGGCATCCTGCACCGTGCCACGTCATCACGCTCAAATGTGGTCACGTGATGTAACCGGTGACGTCACACGGGCGGGGGCGGTGGCCAGCTGTTGCAGGGCCAGCCCCGGAACCCGCCGCTATTGGCGACTGATTTATGCCGATGATCGCCGCGCCGAGCGTGCGCGGAGGTTGGTGCGGACTCGCGACACGACGGGCGTCCGGATCGGCTGGTTCTGCACACTAGAATGGCGACGGCTCGCCCACTCGCCCGCCAGTGTGGGGTCATCCACTGAAACAATGCGCCAGCGAGGTTTTTCTGTTCGGGACTACATATCTTTCTCGTAAATGGGGATTCATGCACCAGCGTTTCGATGTTCGTAAAGGGCGTTTATTTATTTTGTTGTTGACCACGTTGAACCATGCATTGGAGCCAGGTGGGATTTCATACAGTTCGGGTATTCACTCTGCATGTCAAAATCATTTTCACTCCAAACCGCCTCTACTTATTGCAACGTCGCGAGCTATTAGGAAATACGCTTGTCACTACGCCTGTCCTTTATGACCAATAAATTGTTCCCCCTTTCTATCCCACCCCGTTTGGTCTTGACTCGACTCAAAATCATTTCAGATATATCATTCTCAAGAGGTTATTCTCCCCCTTTCTCCCTGTCAGCTTGGTTTAGACCACACATACCGCCGTTTGGAGCCACCATGCAACGGACGCGCATTATCAGCCGTTCCAAGAGATTTCGCAGCTGGGCCTCCTCATCGCCAAGTACCTCGGGTCGCAGTGCAAACTAGGCAAATAGCCGCCATCGCTCCCCTCGAAGACCCAACTGCTCGAGCTTTGTCTCAATCTGACAAGTTGGCGCGCCGTGTTCGCGCCATAATTCACGCCCGGCGGCAACAGTCGGCGCTCGCCGTGACGACGGCGGCAATGTGAGCCGTCATGGCTGGCCGACGGCGTCTGCCCGGCGGCGACGGGCCGGCGGCTGCGCCGGCCGAGCAGCCTTCCGAGCAGGGGCGCATCCAGGAGAAGAGCGGAGGAGCTCACTGGATCAGGGGCGGGTCCAGTAGAAGGATGGATGAGAGAGGCTTGCCGTGTAGGTCATGATGTGTCATCAGTAGCAAAACTAAGTGAGAAAGGGAAATTATTTGGCGCAGGAGTCTAAACGTATACGACATAGGAGAAGTTCTTTCCAAAAACTTAAATTCGTGAGGCGCGAGTCGATCGAAATATCGCCGTAAACCGACGCCCGGCGTTGCAGTCACCCGATGTTGGGCGGCGTCCGTCGCTGCAGGTAACACCAAGCCGTGGGAGGCAACGGACATCAAATACCTTTGCTCATAAAAGCGATGCTACCGAGCACTCCTTAAGCCGTCGTACGATACGAGAATGTCCCGATCTAAGGTCTAATATTTGAATCAGACATTGCCCGCTTGATTGCCATTTGGCGGATTTTCATGTGCTGCTGAGTATGAACTCGCACGAGTATGCTGGTTAGTATTGCTTTAGACTTTCACTTCTCTAAGACAACTCACGTGATGCAAACAAAACTGTGCATAGCATATGACTCAGAATATATTGTCTGTGGTACAAATTAATACATACGGCAAGTTCTGCAGCCTGTACCAAGGACGTAGAGAAGGAAGGGGGAGGGGCGGTAGGGCAACACCATGCACATCTTGCCCCTTGCTGAGCCTGTGTATTCGATGCACCGGCCCAAACAGACCTTGCTCACAGACTGGAAACCCAAAACGCGTGTTGGCGGATATCGCACGGTAGCAGAAATACCGTCGCAGCTGGGCTTCACATATTGCTGAAGCTCCAGCTCCAGCCGCAGACGTCTTCGGCGGTTCGGCGCTGCGTCGCGCTCCTAGTGTGAAGCAGAAAGAGCAAGATGGCCAGCAGTGCCTGCACATTGTTCCGCAGCTCGCAGTCGCTGAGGTCTTGCAGTGGAGGCTGTGTGACTGGTCCGTGCCGGGAAATCAGTTCGCTGTACCTCACGGCCTCGAAGATGAGATGACCACTGAGCCTCACAATGATGACCTCACGGCCGCTGAGATAGCGAAGACCCTGTGCTGAAGAACGCCCTCGGGTTGCTGCTCACGAGCGGCGCGACGATCGGAACCACCTGTTCGCGCACCATGTGGTTCTCATCCCATACCATGCCCAGCAGCAGCTGTTCCGGACGGACCCAGTGCCCGTTACGCTGGAGGACTGGCTGCACCATGGCCTATGTGTGCTGCGGCAGCTCGCGGGGCAGTGTGATGCTCGGGAACAAGTTGCGTAAGCCAAAGTCCTGGACGAGGTCCTTGAGAGCGCTGCTGGAGGTCTCGGTAAAGATGTGAACTAGAGTCGAGCGGCCGGTGTCAACCATGTGAAAACAAGAACGAATATATTAGAACAATTCGCTACGAACTGAGCATCTGATCATACAAAAATAGTTGCGCCTTTTAAGTGTATGTAATTATGCCGATATGCAGAGTCCTTAATTGTGACAGAACACATATCAACAAACATGCTAATAAGCATGAACCGACCAGCAAATGATATGCATACTACGGCACAAAGTATGATAATAAGGAAATGCTCAGCAGTGAGCACATGAAATATCAATTGATACTGGATGAGTTTTAGGCACTCATTGCTACAAATTCGAAGATAATGCGTTTTCATATTTACCTGACATGGTTCGATTGTCTGATTCGCCACTGGGCTGCCACGTTTCGGACAAAGCCGTTTTGAACGCCGGAGGCCAGAAGGTACAGCAGCTGCTGGTGGGTGCTCAGCTGCTGAATCAGGTCGACCGGCAGGTTTGACACATGCCCCTACCTAAGCTTGAATGTCACAACGTCCCTCTCCCAGACCTCTCCGGCACAGGTTTTGCCGATGGGTCCAGAAAAATTTCGATCCCTGGGTCGTGCCGTCCAAGCTCACCAGTAGATGGAGGAGGTTCAGCTCGTTGCCGTGCAGTTGGCAGATGAACCAGTGTACGGGTGACTCTGTGGCCAGCTCAAACGGCCAGAACACGCCGCCTATCTTTTCGGTATCGAGTGTCGTGCAATCGCTGCCGAGCACATTGATGTGACCGTCGCACTGCGGGTTCACAGAGTGTAGCTCGTTGAACAAGTACTGGGCAC